TATAGATTACACAAGCCCAGCAATGTCTGAACGCGAAGTGTATCTGACAGATACATATCTGTGGTTCCTAAAAGGTACTTGCCAAGAGAAAACCCATGCAAAACAAATGCCAAAATCAAGTAAGACTCTTACCTAGGGTGAATGACTTGGAGATACCCTGTACATAGCGATGAATCGCTCTGACATTCTTTCGTCTTAACTTGTAGGACAGTGCTGAGTACAGGGTATCTACAGATGAAGCACCAACGAATCCATATACACAGATCGTTTAGTTTTGTTGTCTTTATATTGTTAAAACTGACTTTGAGAGTCTGTGAGACAGACGAACAGACAGACCATTAGATTTTACAGATTAATTTACCCATTCTCAACTAGTCCAGGGTATAAAAAAAGGTTGTTGTCAGACCACAAAGTGCTGACCAGTTCAAAACACGCCACACACCAAAGCGGCTATCAAAACAAAAGCCAACAGCAAGCCAAACAAGTCAACTAAAAAAGCCAAAGAGATTTTTGTATTCATTTTTTTCCTCGTCGCTTTACTGATTTCCAGTGTCCGGCGCTGTTGCTAAGCGCCCTCAAAAACAAAGGCAACACCAATACAGGCAGCAATTTGTTTTTGTTTACGTACACACACACACGCACAGACAAGTCGCAGTGGGGCAGACAAGGCGAGCCGGCAGCAGAACCCGTCGGTCAACTGCAGCGTCGCTCGCCGATCGCTCTCTCCCTCACACACACAAAGTACTCGTAGCGCTGATAGAAAAAAAAAACCGGAGCCAAAACAAAAACACAAAAACACTGTGCAACGTGGGCGTAAATCGACGGGGCGTGCGAAGGGGTCGGACGAGCGCTGATTGTAAAGCTAACAAAGAACAAGACACAAGGCAAACAAAGAAAACGCTCGACTTTCGGAAGCTTTTAAAACCCACAAAAGTATGCAATGCAAATTTTAAGTAAACGAAAGCAACGTCGAATTTTCTATTAAGTGAGCAGCTGGAAAGTATGCTACATTTATTGCAAACAGCTTCGCGACAATTGATATTGATTCGAATTTAAATGATTGACATAACATCGTAATAGCTGTACTTATTCAAATAGAACGGTTCATTATAGGTCAATAAAGTTATTTCCTTTAGCTTTTATGGGGATGCTGGCTTGGGATACTTGGCTTAAGTTGGGTTAGGTTATGTTGGGCTAAGTTGCCTGAAACACCTACATTGCAACTCTATAAAACTAGAATAAGTTAGATTCTTTGGAATGTCCGTTTGTTCGTATTTGTTGAGAAGTCCGTTAAGAAACAGACTCTTCCTTGCCTTAAACCTGTCGTAGTAATGAGGGTACAGACCGTCCAAGTAGGTCTTCAAACTGTTTTTATTTTAAATACAAATTAACTTAGGTATGAAATCTTGAAATGCGATTGGTCTTACTTAAGCCAACCTACCGTAGCAGCTATATTAAAGTACAAGCAGTAAAGAATTAACAGCCAAAATTTATCTTAATTAAATATAAAACCGATACAATTCAATTTCCAAGCATTTAATTTATTTAAAAGAAAACGTAATATCAAAAGCTTACAGCTTGGCTGCCTGTAAGTTGATTAAAATGAAGATATATAGATACAACTGAGAAACTGGCTACCCAAATTCATTACCATTAATTAACTTTTATGTAATCTATAATACACTCTCTAAGATAATGAAGTTTGTTTTGCGGTTTTTGCCATAGCAACCACAATTGGCTGCAAATCTAAAATATGATGTCTACTTTCGAGCGCACCAAAAATAACTTTTGTGAGCAACTAAATAAGGCTGCCACGAATTCATTGATAAAACTTGTTGTGGAAAGAGGGCTGGGTAGGGGCGGCACGGGTTAAAAGCGTGCGTGAAAAGTTGTTTATAAACAAACAATGTGTGTAAAGTTTTACAAATTTGAGGGGGGATATATGCAGCGAAAGATGAAGGGTGTAAACTTATGGACTGCTCTGGATGGCATCCATGTGCTGGTTGTGGCTGTTATTCTTTTTAATATTGTCGCTGCCCTAGCGAGTGCATTGATCCGTGGACTATCTGCGACATTAACATTGATGCTGTTGCTCTGGCTGCATGTGTGTGTGTGTGTTTGTGTATTTGCTGTATTTACTGTGCGATCAACATGGAATTTTCCTCTGCTTTAACTGAATGAAGCAAAGATTTGGCTTTATCGCCGCGATAAGACCCCTTTTGCCCTAATATAGTCTAAGCTTGAGGTAGGTTATTAGCCAAGTTAGTTGCCCGCGTGACTTTAAATAAACGCACAGGTAAGCCAAGTTGGCCACCCAAGGCCAGACAGTGCCTGGACCCAACCGCAGTCTGACACTGATCCGCTTAATGCTCTATATAGGGGGGCATATGTACATGCACACATAAAGTTTACATAAAAGTCTTGAGACTCACCCGCTGCGCAGCAGTTGCACGCCTTTTAACAGCATTTTCCCACTTATTTTCCCTTTTTTCCTTGGCTATTTCCTTTCACTTTTTTGTTGTGTTTTTGTGTTTTTGCGCTCAGCTGTTGCTGCTGCCAATTGAATTCAGTCGTTTAGTGAATTTATTTCGTCTTGCGCTAACGTTTAATTTGATAAAATTGCGAAGACTTAATGCGAATTTATATTTAAATATAACTGCAGAAACTAATTGAAGGGACGTGGCGCGCGTTTAGCTCTTGCAACTGCTCCCCCTCACTCGCTCTCGCTGTCGCTCTCTCTAGTTCCCAGTATCTGCCTCCACGCGTGGCACTTGTTGCGCTTCGGCAACTGTTGCTGTCGCTGCTGTTGCTGCTGTTGCTGATGTTGCTGCCGGGGCACTTGTTGCTGCGTTCACACAACAATCGAAACTGAAACTCTATGTCAGCCGGTGCGCCTAAGTAACAGATGTACTACAAATTGTTGAGAGTATTTGTACATATGTACATTTTCGTCTACCATTTCGCTTTGTGTATGTGTATGTCTTTATTTTGCGCTCTTTCTGTTTTTATGCACAGCCGGTTGGCTGATAAGATAACAGCAATGCCCACGCTGCCTGCCGCTTGCTACGTGCCGCCCACCGCATGCACCAGACGCCGCGCCTCCTGCTGCTACACTCGATTCACTTGCCGAACAACTTCATCCGCCCAACTCAGCTGTTGTCCAACACTCGCTCTCTTGCCCCACCTCCAATTCAACTGCTTCCTTATCAATGCTTGTGGCCTGTGGCCTGCTGCGCGTCTGCCCCGAATTAAGCTTACATCATCCATCAGCTGAAATCAAAACCATAAGCAGCAGCAGCAGCAGCAGCAGTAGATGCGGCTTATCGTATAGTTGGCTTTGACTTATCATACCCTGTAGCAAGTGCACAGCAAAGGGTATATTGAATGAGAAGCTTATAAAACGACGAGTAAACTAAGAGTTTTTCACTATTTTTGGCTACTATACAATGTTATGTATGATACCCTGTAGCTAGAGTTTGTAAAAGGGCATATTAGGCTATCTTGAAATATGCATATAAAAAGTTGAAATATTGATTTTCTGTATTTTGCTTTCGCTTTCACACATTTCTTCTCAAAATAAATATGTGGGAACTGCTAGTCGTGTATTAGAGCCTTTTCTGAAATAATATGAGGGGTATCTAATAACCAATACGAAAATCTTTATAATTTACCGAAAAGTGCAAGCACAAGACACCGAGTGAAATAAGATCTGTCATTATGCAATTCCCGACAGGCCCCAGACTGGAGGCATTTTTTTCGGATATTCAGTACAGGGCATCTTCTAGTCAATAACTAATTCTCGTTAGCAAAGATTTCACTTTTGTTGACATATGCCAAGCTTATCAATTGATCAATATCGGAAATGTTTATTAATATTATTCCCGCGTACGAGGCGGCATTCTTCAGGGACTCGAATGTCATATTAAATGGTATTTTTACCGCTATTGCTGCTTTAATTGCTTGAACTAAGGTCACACACGCTGCACTTGCATAATGAGCTGTTCAATGAGAGCGAAAGAAAAAGAGAGAGAGAGAGGGAGGGCGAGATAAAGCCAGATGATGATAAAGGGAGAGGTAGCACGTTGCCTCTTTTGGACTTATCAAGTGCTACTTTTGCACCGCTGCAAAAACCAAATTTGCCAAACGAAACTTGAACCCGGCGATAAGCCTAATCTGTGAATGAGCGTTTTCAGCTTTTGGCAAGCCTTACTCTCAGTGCAAAGTGCTTGCGACAAATTTGAAAACAAACTAAAAGAAAACAACAGCAAAAAATCGTAATGAATAGAATAACACACCTTCGTTCTCGAGACCCTGTAGAAAATATTACAAAGAATTTTGTATTCGTCGCCAGAAAAGAAAGTCGAGTCAGCAATACTCTAATATTTTGTTTTTCAGGAAACATTAGGAACTTTTGATTCCATTAAGATTATTAACTATTTTACCCAGTTAATATTAATTCATTGTCATTCAGGAAACAGTAGAAACATTTTACAAGGGAATGTTTTGTTTTTGACTCTAATAAGATAATTAATTATTTTACCCAGTTAATATTAATTCATTATTTTGAGTAAAGGCCTAAAGCGAAACACTTCATAAATAAGTTCTTCATTGAAACACAAACATCTCTTGTTCTTGAACTTAACGCACTATTTATTTATATATCTTTATTTAAATAATAATTACCTGCGTATATCATAATAATGTTTCACATAAGTAATTTCACTTTACGGTTTAAATACAATCAAATTTACACGAGTCCATTTTGTTCGCATACATAATTGTATATTTATGTATATTTATATATATCGCTTAGTTCTCTTAAGCCCTACGACAATAATTGATATACAATATGTTTATAGGATCGTATGTTCATGTTAAGAATTAGGTGAGAATAAACTATACAATAAGATTTGGTAACTATTTGGTTTCGGTTTACGGTTTGCGAGGATATGACGTGATGGGCTTAACTGTGGATTTCACATGCTTCTTCAACTTTTCTGCGGAGCGTTATGTTTATAACACTTATGAGTAGTTTCCATATCAATCTCTGAGTTGGATATATATAACTATTATATAGAAAACAACTGTTTGGCTTTTTAACTCTCATATCTCTAGCTCTAGCTCGCCGTCTATAAGCTTATCAACTAACCCAACTAACCAACGACCTGTCTCTGCGCAAGGTACATTTATCGAGCTTTTGGGTGGGCTCTTTTCTTATAGATTTCTTTTCATATAGCCCTCCCAGATACTAGTTATACGTGGCATTCTTCTCACTGCAAAGGAATTTGTTTTTCTGTTTGGGTTTCAAAATCTTTTTTTCGAAAAATTAAAAATAATAAAAATCTCTGTATATAAAGTTGCTTGCCCATCGAAACTGTCAAGTTGGTGGCCGACGTTCACGAATGTCGACGAGGCTCACATCATAAGTATTCTTTGTTTTAATTTTATGTCTTATTGTCTTCAACGTTTGCCGTTTACGAGTACTTTGAAAAATTCCATGTTCTTTTGATTACAGTTATCTCGCCTGATCCGAAATCGAGAATTTCTAGTTTTTCTATGGATGTGTGTGTTTTCTGGATTGATTATAAAAACCTGTTGCAGTGCTTTGCGGAAACCGAATTTGAAATAGGATTATGTTTTAAGGACCTTAGGTGAACTTAGGTGAGTGTGCGAGTTTGTTTCTGTTTCTATTAAAGTCAGATCAGAATTTAATGCCGTCTTAAGAACTATTCATATAATTATTCATAACGTTTATTTTCTTGTAATTCTTCTTGCTCTTGTAATAGCATTTTACAACCACTAAAACTATTCACAGCAGTTTTTTTTTTTTGTTTTTGAATATAAGAAAATACTTTCAGTGTGTGAAAAATAAACATGTGAGGGCAGAAAATATTAAAATACTGAATTATTTGAGATTAGGTTGAAGCAAGTGGCCGTATGTGAAAATAAGTTGTAAAACGTAAACATAATTGATGATATTTCTTAGACTACAATTCGAGGATATTATTTAGAATATCACACATGCCATACTGTTTTTTTAAACATTTTTTTCTATTTTTATCTGCGTGTAAATTTTAGTATTTCTGTTGTTTTTTTGGTATTTTTAGTATTTTCTTATTTTATTTGCAGTTAACAACTGAACTAGTAATTCTTTAGTTAATATTTCAACTTGCCTAACCTTTTCGATCTCTGTTTATATTAAATTTATGCATTTTTTCTTATTATTATTACAATACTTTTGCATTTACACATATACATAAGTATATATAAGTATATATATATTTAAATTAACCTTGTATAGAGCTAAACTGAATATATATTTGGGCGCGATAAGTTCAACTTGAAACTGAATGCTACTAAGTAAATAAAAATAATGAGTTAAACTCTTGGAAATGCGTTTGGTTAAAAGTTTCTTTGGGTTACACTACAAAAAGCGTTTTGCAATTAAAAGTTCTCATGGCTAGGCAGGGTATACAACTGGGTTATATATAGTATATATATAATATATATGTATTAGGGTTTATAAGGACACAAATACAATTGCATTGTGCTCAACAGTTAAATTCTAAAAAACAGTTTTCAACTAAATGCTACGGCAACAGAAATTACAAACATTTTTCTTTTCAACTCTCTTCAGAGACCCGTTTTTAGTTCAATTGTAGCTCATTGTACATAGTTTAATTGTGTGTGAGTGTGTGTGTGCAATAAAATGTTATTTTAACAATTTTGTTTTAACTATTTATAGCTTCTTTTTTAAATCTTCTTAAATTTCTTTGTTTAATATTTGTTTAATTTGTTTTTCGCTTAACTTAAGGTTTTTTAAATATAAATTATGTTAAAATACTTAGTGTAAATATATAAATGGTTTTTGCGCTTTAATCGCAACACCAGATTTATATATAGCATATTGTTCTCTATATATAGATTTCTGTTTTTTTTTTTTTTTTTTTTTTTTTTTTGACCTAACCTCTAGAATTAAGAGGTTGCTTACCCTTGCCGCACTTGCTTGTCTACACATCATAGGCGTTCTTTCTGTAGTTCTTCTTTCTGCTTGTTGGCACATTTAGATGACTTGTGCCCAGGTTTTTAAGGGGCGTGTTTGCATGTGTTGTTGGACGCATCATCATCATACGCATTGTCATGGGCTTGTCCTCCTCATCATCGTCTGAGAAATCGCTCTGAGTCTTCACATGACCACCTAACGCGGGCCCACTAAAGTCATTCTCATCATCCTCATCGTCTTCCTGTTATCATAAAGGGAATATTTTTTATTTAAAATAAAGTTTTTTAAATATTTCAGGTAATATATCTTGAGCTATAAATTCTAAATATAAAGCTTTAAAATAATAATTGGTTATTCAGTTTATTTGTTGATAAACACAAAACATATGGACACGCGGCGTATGCTTAATATCACAAAGCTTCAAGCTAACACAAAGCTCTAAAAAAGCGTCACTTTCTTAAAACAACCAACAGAGGGCGCTGCAAGCAGCGCTTGCAGTGGCCATTTTCTTAAACACTTAGAAACCATAATAAAATTCTTGAAAAAAAAATACTAGAACTCTTTAGAAGAAACTCTTTACAATACAAAACAAACAAAAAAAATAACAAGTGCACAAAATTGGGCAAATATTGGGTTTTAAAATCGCATTAATTTTCGATATAATTTTGTACTTTACCTTCTTGATTTGCATTACTGAACCGTCTCATTAGCCAATTTAAAGATTTTTTGTTCGCTTAGCAGCCCCTTGAGCTGCAGCTGACAGCCTTAGCCTAAATATTGAGCTGTCTAGGTGAATGTTACTTGTCTAAAGTTTAGGTTATCCTTTCGTTTATAAACATTGCACTAAACTAAGTTGCTGGTAAATAATTGTAAACGTTTTTTGTTTTTGTTTTTTTTTTTCTGTTTTACGTTTAAGTTTTCCTTGTTCTTTGTAAAGAAGGCGCTGACGAGTTATCTAGTGTTATCGAAGCTTAACGCTTTATCGTTTATCGAACTCTATTACATCTAAATGGCATTGCGATTGTTTTTTTTGCTGTAGTTAAGTATTTGCTGTGCGTTTTTTTAAAAGTATTAATATTTTACTTATTGGCGTATGCGGATCGGTTCGAATCGGTACGTAACGTATGGATGAGATTTTTGTTAGGGTATTTCTAGTCAGGCAGACGGCGCGTGAAATTTATCCTTACAGCGTGGGTGACAGGCGTTACAACGGTTTTTATGTTTCGGGAGGCTACTTTTTGAGTTAGTTAAAAGGTTAGGTTAGGTATTCTTTTTTAATGCTTTAAACTTGTTTAGTTCTTTAATTTCTAGTTCTGTAAGTTGAGTAGAACGCAAAGGGGGGAGAGATAGAGAGAGAGAAAAGAGAGTAGAGAATTTTGTGATTAGCAGCAAGTTAAGGGGCATGTGTTTCACGGATTGGTACGGTTGAGTTTTTCGGCCGGGACAAGAAACAACTTACTTCAAAGTCTCCAATTGTGAAGCGTGTGGCCGCTAATAAATCTTGCGGTGGCATATCCGGACTCAAATTCTGAACGACATTGAGCGCGTTAAGAGCGTGATGAATGTTAATTTTTTTCGGTATTTTTTCAAAGCATTTTTAGATAGAGAAACAAGCGTAAGTGTGTGGGATGAGTCATTGAGTGAGAGAAAGACAATTAGTTACATTTAAAGAGAAAAATAGAGAGAGAGTAACTTAGCTTAAATACGTATTAAAAAATGAAACGTTCAAAACAAACACATCAAATTACTTGGACCAAAATGTAGATACAAGTACTATACAAGAGTAAAGACCCCCTTAAAAGGAAGGTAATACGCAGGCTTAACCATTTGTCACTCACATCATCATCATTGTCAATCATTTCCTTGGTTGAGGCAGTCGTCTCATTTCGCCTAATGGAGCCTTGGTGTATGTCCAGGTCCACCTTGAGGCACTGGAAGCTGCGCATGAGGAACACAATGGGCATGGGCAGCACACCAGCCAGGATCATTGCCAGAGCAACGCCCATAACCCAACTGGGATAATTCTTTTGTTCAACAACGCCCTAGAAAATACCATAGAAAATATTAATAATAAACTATATAGGAAAGTTGAAGGTATACGCGTACCAGATCGGCATTCCAAGCGCCATATGTAGGATTACGTATGACCATAAAGACTATGGAGGAGACCAATATGCACACCATGATAACTGGGCCAATATAGCGCCAGGTCCACTGCCAATACAAGCCGGGTCTGTAGCCCGTCATTTGATAGATGTCCTCAGTGAAGCTGTGAAAGGACATGTAAGCCTTAGCTGCGCAACAATGTGTATCTATATTTGGGTGGTAGGACTTACCGTTCATGTCCGTAGATAAATATGACAGCAATCATTTCCATTAGGGCAACTACAACCAAACCAATTGTACCGGCAAATGAATCAAACATCTTGAGCCAATATTCGCCGGCACCTGTGCAGAAGATGAAACCGACAATAAAGCAGAATAGACATACCACACCAGTGACATGTTGTTTCTTAACCCGCTTGATGATGTCAATGTCGAACAACGTGCACAGCATCCCCTCAAGAATGCCAATCTGTGAGCCCAAGCCCAACGACAGTAACATGGTAAAGAACAACACCGCCCAGAACGGTGCGCCGGGCAGCTCGACTATGGCCTGGGTAAAGACAATGAATGCCAAGCCGGTGCCTTCAGCGGCCTAAAATAATTAAAATAATATAAAAATTATGGTTTTAAGTAAAAGCTTCTTGACAATAAGGAAAACATATTATTGTTTTGAAATCAAAATCCGCCGAGGAAATGGGTATTTAAGCAAGAACGAGTTCGTTTTAATTTTAGTTTTAAGAAAAAAGGGTCCCTATATATCTGCCATATTAACGATCGATCATTTTTCCATACAAAAATCTAAGATCGGGGAAAACTGTTTGATTTGCAACTGAACATATGTTCAAGTTAAACTGAAAAATAAATTAAACAAATGTTCTACTACGCCTAATATCTTATATCCAGATTTTTATCTAACTGTATATTATATATCGTATGCATATATATACACTACTTACATTGTCTAGCTCCTTGGACAGGCTGCACTCACTGAGATGCAATAAGCTGAATTCGGTTGCATTGATCTTATGGATGGCCGCTTCGTAATCCTCGCTGCTGGCATTCTTGAAGGGCAGCAGCGCATTCTTAACCAATATTTCCGTATTGCTATAAATAGAGGGAGAGGAATAGAAAGAGAGAGAGAGGATATTATTGGATAGCTAGCTAAAATCGGTTACAGCCAGCGATTCGAACAGTAGCTCAATACCTAAGCGGCACCAGCTCAAATGGGCCACGCAAATAGCTCAAGAGCAATTGTCAATAACTCAAGGCACGGGAGAGAGGGCGGGGACACAATGCAGAAACCTGTGCAGCGCCCATTAATTGAAACAAATTGACAGACAGACGGGCAGATGGGGAGACGGACGGACAGACGAGCCCGTATCGATTGGCCTATCAATGAACAAATAACATATCTAAAGATAGACAAAGCCGCCGCCCGATGCGGTTACAACTAGGTGATGGACTGATTGACTGACTGACTGACTGACTGACCGACTGACTGACTGCCGACTGACCGACAAAATGATTAACTGACCCACCCAATACGCTGCCCGCTGATGCGTGCTGCTGAACTTGCAATGACACGACCCCAACCTTAAACAAGTAAGTGTGCACTACTTGAGAGTGCCCGACAGGGGAGTTACCCTATACGCAGTGGATGATAAACGAGAATATATATATAGCAAAAATTTCATCACGAGCATGGCTATATCGATTCTGATTGAGAATAAGTATCGATTGTGGGATGAGAGATGCACTTTGGCAGAAGGCCCGTATACCCTCTTTAAGCAATTTTATAGGGTATATTAGCTTACCCGGCCACACAGCGATCCACATTGACAGTGGCCTTGAAGCCGAGTATGGCAAAGATGACGACACTCGCATAGATGGCGGTGACTGCATTACATACGGACACCAGCAGCACATCCCGGACGCAGTTATTCTTTGGCGTATTATAGCTGCCAAAGGCAATCAGCGAGCCAAAGGCCAGGCCAAATGAGTAAAAGACCTGTGTGGCCGCATCCAGCCAAACTGTCGGCTCCAGCAGCTTTTCCACCTTGGGCGTGTACATGTGTATCAGACCGGCGCCGGCGCCGCGCAGCGTTATGCCCCGTACAAAGAATATGGTGAGCACAATGTAGGGAAAGAGCGAGGTGAAGTAGACCACCTTGCCGGAACTCTGGATGCCCTTCATGACAATGAAAAAGACAATGGTCCAGGAGAGCAGCAGGCACAATACAATCCACCACTTGAGGCCACCGGGCTCATCCATCGAGGGCGCCGCATCCAAGGTGGTGCGGTACCAGAAATATGTAGTCTCCGATGACTTGGCGCACTCGTCCAGCTCAAAGCCGCTGCCATTAAGAGGACAGGTGGACCAGGGCAGCGGGTACTGTAAATATAGAAAGAAAGAGTATTGAGAATTCGCATAAATATAAACAGTTTTTTGACTTACCCGAAAACTATTAAACAGATAGAAGAAAACCCACGTAATAATCACGTTGTAGTAGAGCGCCACGAAGAGCGTGACGATGCACGAGGAGATGCCAATGCCGCCCAGCCAGGGATGTATGGTATTCCACACGCCCAGAGCGCCTAAACGCATGCGCTGGCCAATGCCCAGCTCGATGAGAAACAAGGGTATGCCCTCCAAAATCAGCATGATCATGAAGGGTATCAGAAATGCACCTAAAAAATGCAAAGTGAAATCCAAAACTCAGTTGATGATTTACCCCCAAACCAATTCCCACATTATATGTTAGGGTATTTGCACTTCGATGCATATCCCAGCTGCTTCTTTCATTTTTTGTCTCGTTCCTAATTGAATTAGAACCGTGTGGGATGTAAGCTTGGAATGTGTCTTTCAATAAAAATGCGTTGTTTAGCACGAGGCGCACAAGTCCAACCAGTCCCGCCCAAAAAAAGACCCTCCAATTAAGCTCTTCCGGCAGGCGCAAAAGTAATGTGCAAATAACGGCCGCCCTTCAGCCCACCCAAACCCCCCATACGAACCATTCACCCATTGTAAGCTCTGCAATTAGTTCACATTAAATCTCATAATGTTATTGTCAAAGCCTCGCATTTGATTAGCTTTAGCAGTCACATGATATCGGTTATGTATGTACATAGCGAACACGAGCGGACTTTGGAGTGAAATGCGCCTGAAAGGGCCAATAATTGTGGCTAGCACATTAAACTGCTTTTTAGGGACAACAGAAAGCTGTTGCCGGCGCCCGAGCTGTTGCTCTAGGTTTTCGATTACAGTGTTAATTAATACACAGGAGCGGACTTGAAGTGGATGGGCCCAAGAGGGATACCCATAGCAAATGTAATTATGCGAAGCACTATTTTAAGAGCTGAGAAGGTTGCGTCCAATTATTTTTCATCGTATAGAACTTTAAAGCTCAACATTTATTTCATAGCCAGTACAAATACGTGGCCCCATTGTACATGCGCCCAGCATGCGTCCGACATAATAAGCTCCGCCCCTGGTAAGGACTGCACCTAATATGAGCAGCTGCAGTCAAAGTAATTAGCTTTATCAACGTCGCACAGGTGGCGATTGACTTAGCTGGGAGTGGAACTGGGATTGTAATTGGAACTGGTCGGGGGATTTGTCAGCTATCATCGGGTTGCCAAGTGCAGACAGTGATTGGCGCACGCGAATGCAAAAACAGAAGGGAAAAAAGTGCCACATATTGCAAATTTTTGGTCGATCAACGACTGTTACCGGAGACCCTTTGGGTAATTCGATAGATAGGTAATACTCACCGCCACCATTCTGTTGGCACAGATACGGAAAACGCCAGATGTTGCCCAGCCCCACCGAATAGCCAATAATGCTGAGAAAGAACTGCATCTTGCCGCTCCAGGCGGCGCGGTCCGGTTCACCTGGTATATCCACCGATTGCACCGAATTGCGTTGCGGAGCGGTTAGGACAATGGTCACCCCGTGGGTGCCATCGCCCCGTGCTCTTGTGTTCAGGGGCGCCATTTCGTGACCGTTACGCGGTGCATCAATTATTTTCGTGGCAGCCATCAACGCTGGGAGTTAACTCTGATTGTTGCCGTTCCAACGAGCCGTTTTCTGTACAAATAGCAATAATAATAAACGGAATTAGATTTTTTTTTCTAATGCCGTCAACTTACGTGGCTTATGGTCACACAACTCTGCTAAAATTAACAGTGAATATCCAGTCCCTAGAGAATTGTGTGTGCCACAAGACATATGGCAAGCGAATGCGCTGTTGCATGTGCTCAATCTAGAACTCAAAACTGCTTATTATACCCTGTAGTCATCAAATTACAAAGTTGAGCATATGTTTGAGGCAGACAAAACAAGGTTTATACCACGCAAAAAAGTGCATATAATCTTTAAGGCATGGTAAAGTACTGATTAATGCAGTGATGATTTCATGGGTTGTTAATGTTTTGGCCTTGATGGAGTTCAAAAAGAACATGTTTGATTTAACATTCAGTACGTCGATAAACATGAGCTTCAAGTTTAACAGTGTCTGCACTAAAAAGATTATTATAGAGTTCTTTTTCACAATTTTCAAAATGGTACACAGCTTGGCTGCAGCCAAAACAAGAGGTTGGCTCAGTGCATGATTAAAATAATTGCTCGCTCCGGTTCGAGTCCCTAATTAGTATCAGCTTTTAAAAGTTTTTTTAATATCTAAGCTCAGAAAATAAGGCCAAATTGTTAGTTATTTTCCAAACAGTCCAAGTATTTTTATACGTGTATAGTTATTTATGATCTTATATATAAATATTGTTTTATTTATTATTTAATTATATAAAAAGACAATAAATTTTTTATTAAGAATTTTTTTTTAAATTAATTTTATTAATTAAGCGATATTATCTCTACGCCAAATTGGCAGTAATGAACAATATTACATCTCAGAATTGAATACTGGGTAATGCCTAGTCGACTCCAGTATATATTACAGTTCCCGCAGTCCCTCTCCCTCTCTCATTCTACATCTTTTTCCTTCCACCACACACACAGCATACAACTCTTAAAGGACACTCTGGCTGTTTGATCAATAAGTTGGCCAAAGTTCCGTAGGTATGTGCGTGTTAATGTGTGTGTGTGTGTGTGTGTGTCTATATGTATTACCCATGAATTTTATATGTAAATCACTTATAGTTTGCCATTTTTGTGGCCCGTCCTTGAGCTGTGACTTCAAGTGGTTTTGCGCGTGGGCGGTTCGTGTCCTGACGCTTAACTCAATTTATGCCCTAATTGTTGGCCATTAAGGAAAGTTTTTCGTGTACAATTTTTCTGTTTGCCAACTTGTGTACCTAAATTTATTAAGTTACTTAGCTAAAGTAGTTGGGAATAATTCTTTTATATTTTTGAGCTTGCCATCTGCCAGTTGCTAAAAACAATTTGAAGGGCCCTACCCTCTATGCAAATCCTTGTCTCGTTTGCTGTCCTTAGTTCAAGTCAAATGTCAACGGTTTTCCATGAAAAGGTCGCAGCTAATTAAACTGCACACAAACATGCATTTATGTATGCTGCTATATATATCTGTGTGCGTGCCACAGTTTGACAGTCACTGCACCAAGTTCACGCCCTGCCAATAGCCCCAAACTGCACTCGAAACATGTGGCTTTGTAGAGGGTGGACTCTGCCCAAATCTATGGCAGAAGGTCGTTGCAAATTAAACAAAAAGCAAAAGGAACACACACACACCACACACATATGTATGTATGTGTATATGCATATATACAGTCTCAGGCCAGACTCTGTCTATGTATTGTGTGCTATTTACTTGGAGGCTCGTCTAGCCTGCTGACGTAGTAAAATTGTCGTTAGCAGAAGTCATGCCAGGCGGAAGCTAAAGCGTAATGGAGAAAGCGAGAGAGAGAGAAAGAGAGGGAGAGAGAGACACCCAAAGAGAGCGGGAATAGGAAGGACAGAGAGCAGACGCTGCGTGGGTGTGTGTGTAAGCAGCTGTGCAGAAAGAAGCAGCAGCAGCAGCTGCACAAATTGAATAGAAACTCACCACAAATGAGAGACAGCGAAAGATAGAGCAAAGGCTAGCAAAGAGCGAGCGAGAGAGTATGGTAAAAGCTAAGCGAAGAGCTTTTTGTTGGCGTCCTGCTGCGGCAGTCGCTTCATTGATGCCAAAATGCGCCTAGATAGGAGGCGCACACTATGTGTGTACATGTGTCTCTGTGCGTGTGTGTGTGTCTGTGTGTCTGTGTTGTTGGTGTTCTTGGTTTGTCCAACATTGCGTATACGTAATGCGCTATGACGTCTTTGGCAGGCAAACAGCCAACGGCAATTGCGTATTTCGTACAATTTTCTCTGGCACTATGAACTGCATATAGGCAAGATATTCCGGAATTCGTAGGCCGACAATAATTGTAATTAATTATTGCAATAATTGAAAATGTTATTACATGCCATAAAAGGCAAAAACAAAACAATACGGATTATAGTTCACCAGCTTTGCGAAGAGCGAACACCCTTGACCCAGTCCTAACAGTTGTTGTTGTTGTTGTTCTAGTTGTTGTTGTCATGGTTGTTGTTGTTGTTGTTGTTCACGCATTGTTGTCCGTTCGTCTTGGCCTTTCAATCTTTTCACTCCGTTGATTACACAATCCCATTTACGTTACGTAAAACTGAACGCAAAAATAAACGTCCTGCGATAGCTCAGCTCCGAGCTGTGGCTATTGTTGTTCTTTTCTGTTTACTGTTGTTGTTGTTGTTGCTAAGCTGTGATTTGTCCGTCGCAGTTTGTTGGTTCTTTCATTGTTTTTGTTAAGCCACCTGGCAGCTGGCCCACGTCTTTCGAAGCTTAAGCGCCCAACCGCCCTGCCGGCGTTTTTCTATATAAAGCTCAAGCTGTCAAGTTTTTGCTTTTCGCAGGACACGCCTGGCCCTGGCCCTGTCAGCGTCTCGCTGTGCATATGTGTATGTTTGTATGTGTGTGTGTGTACGATTGTTAGCCACTGAGTGGTCTGCAACACAATGCTTAAACAGTTTTTATAGGAAATTACTCAATAATAGCCTCCAAGACTGAGCGCCTAATGGAAGCCAAATGGTTTTGTACTGCCACTCGGATAGGCCAAGCGAATAGCTCAGCAAATAGTACACTTAAATGTCTGTCAATTTATTCAATATATATATATATAGATATGGCTTTCATATCCCCTCGCTGGCCCAATTATATAACCGAGCAATGCAAACAGATTTATTTCACCACTGAGCGCCGCAAATAGCAGAGCACTCTTTTTTAGCCGACCTGACACAAAAATACATTTTAAATGAATGGAAATATACCAGGCGCATAACCCCTAAAACGACGCTACCTATCAAACACACACACACATACACACAGGCGCACACACTCACACGTGCTGGCAAAAAGCTTGCCATTCCGCATTTGTATTGGTGTCTCTTCAGTGCGGCTCAACTTGAAACCCCGAATAAAGGACATTTCGAAATTGCGTCGTGCCAAAATTATATTTAAAACAGGAAAGAGCGCTCGGTCGGCGGAATGATCGCCTAGCAAATGCCCTGTAGTCAATGTTATAAGAGAAATAATTAATTTCACAAAGAGTTTTATAAAAAGCTTCCATGTATAGATACATATATTTATATATATACAAATATATAGTTTACTTGTTGTTAATAAACTAATCTGTGCAGAGGTTTTTTATCGGGTTTAACAACGTTATCTATATATCCACTGTATCTAATATATTTATTTACATATCCTTGTGTACTTTCAGTATAAAAAGCATTATCATTTTGAACAATTATGACAACCAATAATATCTAATCATTATCAACTATAGTATAAAGAGATCGATAGCTATGAATTTTTTATAATAGGCAAATTATCTTCTTTTTTTCAATATACGCATCTGTATACACACAATTAATTTTACTGAGCTTTTCCCAATACATATTTATACGCTAATGTTATATATTATAATGTCATTGTAAACATTCTTGAGCGTGGTAATGTGAGATGTTATGCTATTATCATATTCATATTCATCAACTGCATTTTGTTTTATCAAATTACTTGAGTAAAATTCTAAAGCAGAATGCAAGCATATAAACGTATGTTAACGCTTACATATCAAATTTAATAGCTTTAGATGTTTTAGACCCCAAGTTCAATAAGAAGACAAGATCTCAAAAATGTTCATAGATGGCTTGCATAATCACAAAAGTTTTCTGCTTGCGCAAACATTTTCTTTTCACTTAATTTGTGTTTACAGGGTATATTAAGTTCAACCCCCTTAACAGCTTGGCCAACGTAGGGTGTGCGCGGGGTTGCTTTAAAGCTGCTGACGCTAGCTCCGGCAAGTTTAAAGGAAGGAAGGGTCGTCAGATATAGCACACGGGGGAGCCTGAGTGCATTTGACATGGCGTGTTTGTCAGAGCAAATCGATAAGCGAATTGAGGTAGTCGACGCGGCTTGACCCGAGTGGGAGGGCGAGGCAGCTGTAGGGGCGGAGCGAGATAGTTGTTTGGGTCTTTACTATTTTACATAAATCATGCAGTGTGATTGCCTATAAAACACATTCGATTCATGCAATCGATTTGCAACGTTTTATGGCTTTTTTCGCATTCGTAATTTCTTCCAGGCCCACACACAGTCGCTGCACTTGTAAACACATTGGCAATAGCCATGTAAATAGCTGCATACACATAATTTGCAGCTATTTTTGTTTTGATACATTTTGGCATTTGCAATGTGCGGCACTCGGCGAAATCTAGCCCAGGCATTACATTTGGCCTCTGCTCTTGAACAACTATTTTCTCTAATTTGTATACTCTGTTCGGAGAAAGATAAAGAGTATATTGTACCTATGTAAGGTGAAAATTTGGAATATATACTCGTCTATGTACTCGTCTCAAACAAAGTGTAATATTTTCTAAGTATATATTGAGTTTCTCCAAAGACCCAAAAACAAAATTTCTTCAAGTCCACCCAGGCCACACAAGTCACAAATGCCAAACAAACGACTCAAATAATCTGTTTTTTGAACTGTGAACAGAGTATTGTGCAAGTGATTGCACCCCATCCAAAGTTCTTATTTGCTTTTTTTTCTGAACTAACAATGAAAGTAATTCATTTGGCGCCGAAAATCTATGTGATATATATTCGATGGTAAAATTCAAGTGCAGCACCCGCTGCCGCCCACCTTGCTCCCTATCTATATTTCTTTCTCCACCCCCCTCTCTCTCTCGGGTCTTGCTTGTGTCCGCACCCCCGCCTTGGCTTCCTGGAAATCTGTGCTAGTCTTTCGAAGCGGCATAGACTGGGCTGGACTGGTTGGAGCCACTTGGCTCTGCTTAAACTGCTTTAGGTTTGGCTTAAACTGCTCCATTGAATGGTTTTGTATTTCATCTGGCTTGCATTGTTTATGCATCCCTAACCTTGGTCTATTGCAACTTGCCAGAATTCTTATATAAACACATGCAACTGATGGGTGGCACAGCTGTTAGGACTATGGAAAATTTTCTAAGTATTTAATAGATGCTCAGCTACGGAAAGTTTTTAGAATATTAAATAGATGTTGACCTAACTATTATCTACGCATATAAAACCTATTGGAGCTCTGTGTTTTGTTGTTCTAGGTTAGTTTTCCAAGATTTGTTGAGTTTCGTTTTTAGTTACGGTAGATACTTAAACAAAGTACGAACCATTTATTGTAAACCTATTGTAACGTTGCTTTGTGCAACCTTATGTCAACAAAAGGTTTCTTACTTTATGAAATATCTAATATAAATTATAGAGTAAATACCGATACCATCCACTTGCTAACTAAAGCCGGCGGCTGGTCTTTATTCCAATGGAACCAAATTAAAGCCAAACCGAACTCGGCTATTTGTTGCCCGTGACTATCCTTTGTATGTATTTTCTCTCAACATCGATTATTAAGTAAAGCGTCAGGTTCTATCCATCAATCTAAAACCTCACGGAACTCAGAATCTTTGTGGACGTAAATCTGCAAACTAGGCCTTGTTGAGTTTGTTTTTACAATTTAAAGCATAAATTATATTGAGATATCAAATGATATCATTCGCTTATTTCTTAGCCCATGTAACTCAGCTGTTTTCTGCTGTAGATTAGTATTTTTTGATTTGCATACTTTCCTTAACGTTAAATATGTAAAATATATTTAATTAAAAGTAAAGAGAAAGTCGATGAACTATCCAAGCAACTGTAGCCGAGTGTAACTCAGCTGTTTCTCGCTCTAGATTCACAAAAGACAGCTTATTTGGTTTCGTTTCTATGGAAACCCATGATTATACGGCATTCAAAAGCAGCTGATATATGTAAGGCACTCCCCAGTTCTACTACGAAATATTTGCATGCGACACTTCTCAGGGGCAAGTGCACAGAAAAATGTTGCGGCACGGATAAGAGCGATTCATCAGGTCGACAGTTGCACTCGGGAAATGCCAAAAAAAAGTAAAGAACCAGTACCTTATATAGAGAGACTCTCTACTACATACATATGTATATGTATGCACAATTTAGCGGTACTTTCGCTCTCACTCTGGCCACGGCAGTGGGAGGGAGATGGAAAGTGAGACTGGCATTTGCCAGGGCCAAAATGCAATCAGCCAAGCACAAAGTTCACTTTCGTGTTATTTTTTTTGGCAAAGCATCAACTGTTGGTCTGTTGGGCTGCTGCGGCTACAGTTGCGGACGCGAATGTGTATCCGAGAGGAAGGGGGTTGTATTTGAGTGTGAGCTTTTAAGGTTTTTCTATGTTTTTGGGCAGAACAACCCCCAGCCAATGCCATTGCCAGCCTCAATGCAATTTCCCTTCACCACACAACGAAGATGGGACCCAGAGAGAAAGAACGACAGAGAGAGAGAGAGCGAGAATGGGAGTGTGGCAGCAGGAGTGCGAGAGAGCAGGCGTGAAAAGCTTGTGGGAAAGTCAAATTGTTTTACAGCATTTGGATATATAGTATTTTCCATGGCTAAAAACTGTTTATATTTATGGGTTATGCAAAAATCAATCACATGATGTGCTCAAAATTACAAAAAGCATAAACTAATATACTATACACATCAATCTTGTTTAACGAGCTTTATGCAATTGTTAGAGCTGCTGCAACACGTGCTGCCCCCATACGGGCATAAATTTGTTTATTTTATATTTTTCTTGGTAAAATTGATAAAAAACAATAAATAGTAAATGAAAACAGCACAAAAAATAACACAACTTCGACGTGCGAGTTGTGCAAATAATTTGCATGCAAATATTCGCTGATTCTTGATTTTGTATTTTCGCATTTCTTTGCTTAGCGAAATTGTAAATGCACGAAAATGTAAATATTTAAAATGGGACATAATGAATAATAATAGTTGTAAAAGTCGCAGTAAAGACAAAGCACGTGCATCCTTTTTGCTTATATGTATATGTATATGTATGTGTGAGTGTGTGTATATGTGTGGGTCTCTGTACATGTGCTGCGTGCGCAGGACACGTCAGGATAAAAGTGCTGTGAAATTCTATGCGCTATTTCATCTCTTCTTATTTCAAGCCACAACGTACCAAACTTTGGGTTGGCTTAGCTTCTTTTTAGATGTTCCGTTTAGGGGCGGATTTTTTCACACAGGACGCAAGCTGACGGCGCGCCGTTTTATTATCCTTGTTGACCAACTTTCTGACAACTCGTGGAATTTAATGCACTACACACAGACACGCGCACACACACAGAAATTTCAAAAACTTTTCTTATTCAACGCAAAATTTGCGTTAAATTTTCTTTATTTTTATGTTAATTTTTAATTTCACGTAAATAGCTTTGCTCGGTTTTCACGACCGTAGCTTTGTGCTTTCCGTTGTAAACTGATTTTTCGCTTGGCGCCGACCAACGAAAATGCTGCCAGTGCCATTTAATAGCGACTGCTCCGGGGTGCGATATTCATTCGATTCCATTTCAATTCCTTCATTCGATAAACAAACGCGAGCAGCTTGCGACGGCGCGCTGTGGTGAAAAGCGTACGAGAAAACAACACCACCCCACCACAGGCACCACAGGCACCACCAAAGCCAGCAAAACCAACACCACCACACAACTAAGAATTGACGCAACCGGGCGGCGGCAGGACTCTTGCATGGAAATTTTTTAGTTCATAAATTATTTTGTCTAGGATGTCAAAAATTCAAGCCCAAAACAGAGCCAACCCCTAGCGGCTGCTTGGCTTTTTGTGTGTGAGAGATTGTATGTACATATGTGTGTGTGTGTGTCTTCAGGACTGAAGGGAATGACACGAGGTCCTTTTATTAGTGTCTTATGAGAAAGAAAAGAAATAGAATGAGGGTGAGCAGACGAAAATATATAAGATAATAAAAATAAATTCATTTGTAAAAGTTTTCTATTTTTTGTATTACGTAATAAAATACAAAATAAAAGCTAACAAACATAAAATATAACTGAAGGAAATTAGACAGAAATCGTAAAAACAGACATTGGCGTTTAATAGCAATAATAATATAAATATATTAACGAGCTCAATCATATTGGTAATTAAGAGTATTAATAAATAACGAAGTATCAATGCTAAAATAAAACGCTATAGGGGTTATAAGAGAGGTAATAAATTTCGATAATTTAATTTAAAATTTTCAAAATAGAAACCGCAAGAGAGTTAAATTATTTATTTGATTTCTTTTTAACACTATTAATAATTTCAATTTTTAAAAATAAAAAGGGCGCGAACCCGTATTTTAAACGTTACATTAACAGCCTGTAACTACCCATAGACGTCAAGTCAGCGCTGCTGTGGCAAACTGGCTGCTAAAGGCTATGTAAACACTTGTTTTATCTACCAGAGACTAGATGGCGCCACTGAAGCGGCTGTCCCATGTTAACGCTCGCTGTGACTGGCCGCCCTGTTAAAGTTGCGCTGCGACTGTCCCATTAGAGTTGTTGTTGTCAGGCGCAAAATTTTTGTCTCAATCGATTTTTTTATAATATTTAAGAAATTAACACTTAACCAAATCAAAATATCCCCAACAAAAGTAACAACGAACATGGAGACGTAAGTATCGAGCTAAAATTGAATGTAGTTATTGTTGTTTTTCACATCTTATGCATTTTGCTGCAGTTTGCTAGACGAGGAATTGGAGTCGTTGGAGGCGATTCTTATGGACGATGTGCGCATTTTGCGCCGCACCAAGTGAGTCCCACAATGAATATAACCCTCTCACCATATTAATTAATGTTTGGTGCTTCTGCCTTGCTTGCAGCGGCGCTGTCGAAATCATTGAGACAACGGTGCTGCCGCTGACCGGCGAGGAGGACGAGCAGCAATATATTTGCGTAACGCTCCAGGTGCTGCCCCCACCTGGCTATCCGGATGTGAGTCCCACGTTCAAGCTGCTGCGTCCGCGTGGCCTGGATGATGGCCGCCTGGAGGCCATACGCAGCGCTTGCAACGCCAAGATCAAAGAGTCGATCGGCCTGCCCGTTGTCTTCGATTTGATTGAGGTGGTGCGGGAACATTTGACCGGCAGCAATTTGCCCAGTGGCCAGTGCGTCATCTGCTTGTATGGGTTTAGCGAAGGCGATGAGTTCACGCGGACCGAGTGCTTCCATTACCTGCACAGCTATTGCCTGGCACGCCATTTGAATGCGCTGCGTCGCAGCTACCAGGAGGAGTTCGACAAGCTGCCAGCTTGGCTGCAAAAGACTGCAGATCCCTTCCAGGCGCTGTGCCCCGTCTGCCGGGAGCACATACACGACGAGTCCGATAGCCTCAAGTGCGCGATGCCGCCCTCCGAGCTGGAGAATGCGCCCGAATTTCAGGTAACACAGGAACTGCGCCAGATGCAGCAGCGCATGTCGCAGCTGTTTCTGCAGCAGAAGAGTCGTGGAGCCATTATCGATGCAGAGGCCGAGGCCGGCACCGTCATTGCCATAGAGACCGAAGAGGATGTGCGTCGGCGACAGCGTCACGAAGAGGCCGAGGCTGCCAAGAAGCTGGCCACATCACCAGAGGCAGCCGGCAGCACGGCCTGTGCCAAGCCCGCCGCCAGCAGCTTTGCGCCCGTGGTGCAGGAGACGCAGCGTATCCTGCCGGAGCCCACAAACAACAACTATCAGCATCACAATCGTCGGCATTATCGCGGCGGCCGGCGTCATCATCATCATCACCACCATCATCATCGTGGCGAGCGCGCCGAGGCTGCGCATACCTCAGGGGCTGCTGCTGTTGGAGGAGGAGGCGCAGGTGCAGCTGGTGCCGCAGCTGGCAGTGGCGCCAGCTCTGGCGCAGGCAAACAGCCAAAGGCGCAAACTGCCGGGAGCGGCCATGCCAGGTGACACTGGCGCAGCACCAGGCTGCTGCGTCTAACAATGCCAATTAAAAAAGACGCAGCCCTGACGCTAACAATGCCAATGCCCAAGCTGTTGCGCCCGCTGCTGTCCTGCTGCTAATATACAACAACAATAACACACACACATACACACACTCCGCCCCCTTTAAAACTCGCTCCTTTAGTTTGTTTATTTTAATTTGTTTGTGCAACACTCAATTTCTGTGAATTTCTGAACCAACTAGTTGGCTCAGATGATGATTGATTGATTGATTGACTTATGTTTAGTTTAGCTGGATGGCGAGCGTGGTTTAGCGAATTTCAATTGATCTATATTGTATATGTATATTTATAACTATGTATTTAGTTTTATGTTTATTATATAACGATACATCTATTTGTATTTGTAATGGCTTACAAAAGACTTGCGGCATTGTGCCGACGATATTATTGGTTAGGAGAACATTTAGGGCGTTCCGAAATATATGTATTTTAGCAGCACCAACTGGCAGCGCTGGCGTTGACGTACACACACACATACACACACACACAAGCACACTTTGATATTTACTAAACGCATAAACTGCAATTCGCACTTGAACTTTAGCATAAATGTTTAACTCGTAACTATTCCCCCCCTCTATCGTTCTTCTCTGTGGCAGCTTAGCACAAGATACATGAAAACAATAAAATAAAAATAAAATTTATGTAAAGTCATCCGTTAGGCATAAAAATGATGGGCATGTACCAATTAACAGCGCCATTCTAGTCAGTTTCATATGACAGAACCGATATTAAAAGTACATAACACTAGCAACTATATACACAGACACACACACATCTATATGTCTGCATTCACATATTTAAATGTCTAACTAATTAAATGTTTGTGTAGAACAGAAATATAGCAATCCATTTGGATCTGCAAGGCAAATACTACAAATACCAAATTTCAATGTGTCAAAAAAATACAACTAAAAAATTAAAATGAATAAATTCAATTCCATTATACAAAATGATATTTTATTTGCAAGCAATAAGAACGTGTTATAGTAGCAATATTGTAGGTATATACAAGCTTTCCCAGATCCACCTTTCACCGAGTCATCAACTTCAAACTTTTATATTTCAGGTAATTATGGTCCGATTTTCAAATCATATAGCCTTTTAAACTCGTACAGACCCCGATTATCGGTTTCCATTCAAATAATTCCATTTTGAGATTTTACCAATTTTCATCAAAATGGCAAATTTACCAAAAATGGGGTCGGTTATGTAATCAAATTTTTTGGATACCATTCAATTCTATGGATATTCACGAGATGATCGAGGTATACCTTGCCAGGATCGGACCTAATTTACCCGAGAAACAGCCATTTAAAGATTTGCCAAAGAATTGTTTTTTCAAATATCTCGGGTAAATATGGTCTAATTATATTCAATTCTATGGAAATTCACGAGACGAAGAGGTATACCTTGCCACAATCGGACCTAATTTATCCGTAATATAGCCATTTAAAGTTTTCAAAAAAAATTTCTTTAATATCTCGCCTTCTATAGATTTTCACTAACTAAAAATGACATAACTTTCTCTGATCTGACTGAGCAAATTACCAAGCGAACAGAAAACGCAAGCAAATCGACAAAAAATGTTTATTACATTTTTGTCTATGCATAATAATTGAAAACATTTCCTTAACGTCTGTAACTAAAAACACTTGTCAGATTTTGTTATTAATTTTCTTTTTTTTGTAAAGGTTTATTTCTCGTTTAAATTGTTTTAATTTAATAGAATTACAAAAAACGTTGAATGCATTTCTATTGTTTCGTATAACAAAATAATTTAGTATTAGTATTATACAATATTTATATAAAGTTTTTGCATTTTTTCTCTTTTCTTTTTCCTTTTCACTCTATAATATTAGTTATATGTTCCACTTGCATATAGAAAACAAAAATAATTATGCATTACAAATTGTGTGTGTGGTTGGTATCTTCTTGTTTTATGCTTACTAACTAAATATTAATTAAACTTAGAGTAATGACTTTTAGTATATAATTAAATATTTTTTGTTTTCTTTCTTTTATTATGCGGCTGTCAAGCTTTACTTTTACTATTAGTTTCAACAGAACAAAATCAAATTTCTCTTAAACGTTTGGGTTTAGTTTTTTTGGTCGCATACGCAACTGCCATGCCCACAGCTGGAGCACGCCCACAAACTGGCGATTTTGTGGACGCATTCAAAGACTGCAAGGACTAATGACAGCGCGCAGCGACATTTAATTCGAATGCTTTTTCATTTTCATTTTCTTTTGTTTTTTTTTTTTGTAATTTTCTGTTTTGTTAATTTTTATAGTTTTTGTTTCATTTTTTTTTTTTAGATTTTGAATTGGCTTAAGCACTTGGAGTGTATTTTGCATTTTATATAAGTATATACAAATTATAAATTTGGAAATCAATATTAAAGTATAACTAGTAAATAGTAGGCATTAAATATTAGTAGTAGCAAAAGGTCTGTAGTAGTTAGTATTACTTGTAAGTAGCTTTCTCAACTTTGTGTGTGTGTGTGTGTTTGGATAGCCTTTTCTTTATAACGGTTGCTATAAAAACTTTTTTTCGCAGTTCTCTAAACTCTCATTTTGTTGAGTTTTTTGTGTCTTTTACGCTTAACCAAGATTTGCAAATTTTTTAGTGCTGTTTTTTACAAAATATTTTTTGTATAAATTCTCAGCGACTGTTTGAACTGGTTCCTGTTGCTACATTTTCTACAGCAATGTAGTCTCTCTGTTGCGTGTGTAGAGTCTGGCGGGGGGCAGGGGGAAAGTTCACAATTTGTGGTTGATTAGTTGAAAGAACTTCAGTGCATAGTTAGTTATTTTAAGATTTGTGTGTTTTTTTTGTTATTTGTTTTTAATTGTTAATTGGCAACTGTTGCGTCCGCCTTAAAGCCGGAACGGTTCACGCTTCTCAGTGGGCGTGGTTCCACGGGATGTGCGTCGCATCGTCGAGCTGAATGTCGGCTCCGCGGAGCTCTTCCGCGGCGTCTGCATGCCCGACGGCGTTGAACTGCCGCTGATGTTGCGCCTGTGGAAAGGAAGTCCAAAAAAAAACGTAAGTATGGGCCAAGGCACTTGGAAATTTGAATTAAATAAAAACTTGAACAGTTTAACAATTAAATAAACAATAAATAATAATAGCTAGTTTCGGCGTGCCGAAGATTTAATGCCCTTGCAGATATATGTATTCTTTTTATATTTTCCCAACCTTCTTAAAGCATATCATTTTATAGTAAACTGAATTGAAAGTTTCTGAAGACAAATTAGAAAGCGAATTATATTCGATAAATGTACAATTAAATTTCTGTTTAAATATGTTAAGCGTGTGTTAAATCAGGTCTAAAAGCCTAAAAAAGCTGTTTTTATATTTAAACTAAACTTTAAATATTACATTGCTATAACCACTAGAAGATAAAATTATCAGATAGTAATTGTAGTAATACTTTTAAGAACAATTAATAATGTTTTCTTTAATTTACTAGATATTAATAAAACGTCTCTTTTTTTTTTGATTTAAATTAACTGAATTGAATAACAATAAAATATCATTTATTTTTTCAAAATTATTTCTTCCGATCCGTTCTTTTATTGTTTATATATTATCGACTGTAGCTACGATTCCCTAAAATCCTTTTCTGAACTAGTATAACCAACTATTTTTTAAGAGAAGACACCGTTTTAAAGTTTACTCCACTCGGCTCTAAAAAATGTCATTATATAGTAAGAAGCTCTTTACAATCGGACGTTTTATCTATTTTGCCTCTCAATCATAATATCCTCTGCAGGGTTATATAACAAAATAGTACTTAAAGCATTAATGGAAATTAGAAAACTTTCCATGCAATTGCAGTTAGACATGCACTGGTTTTACAATTGATAACATAATTTGAAACAATAAACATAAACAAATATATAAAAATTATAATAATTACTTGCTACTATTTGCTGAATAATTTCATAATTGTCTACAGTGGATGCTCATTTATATATATATATATATATATGTATATAGCACTCTCTATATATGGTATACAGAAATTTACCCCAAGCTGCTTGGATTTGCAGACGAACTGGTGGGCGATGATGTTTTGGAATCGTTGAGGGGTATCTTAACCGGTATCCGTGATGGGCGGCTTTAGTATATGTTTGTGAATAGTTAGCATAAGTACAACCATTACCGAAATTGATATCTTACGAGCTATAGCTAAAAAACTAGCCCTAAAACTTGATTGATTTAACTTAGGTTGATAAAATTATAATTTATAATAATGTTATGTTTAGTATTGTTTGTTGTTGTTGTTTTTGGGCATTACCTAGTGGGTTTGAAGCCGAAGCCTGTTAGTGCTGGTATACTGGATGATCTACTCATGCCTCCATTGCTGTTTTTTGCAGTATTTATATTTTTTGTTTCAGGCACAAGTCGGTATAATTTTTTTGGTATTTATTTTATTTTTTGATGTTGCAGTTAGTTGCATTCAAGCATTTAAATTTCGATATGATATTTTATTTCAATAAAGCCAATTCGTTTTGTAGGTTAGCGTTTAAATGATGGTATTTATTTGGTATATTTGGTATTTTTAATGATTTTTTGTTTCATATAAGCCAATTCGTTTTGTAAGTAGCATGTAAAATGGTGATTTTGGTATTATGTTGAGAATGTTTTGTATATTTTTTTTTTTTTTGATATTTTGTTGGTATTTTTTGTTGTGTGAGTTTTGTCAAAAGTTAATGCAGTAACCGAAAATAATTTCAAAAATAAATTGATAAATTAATAAAGTTCAAATATGTTTATCAAAAACCCACCCTTAACCCCCAACAGAAAAATCTAGACGAATGCTTACCTTGTGGGCGCTGGACTTGCCGAACCGGACGCGGTTTTGCGTGTGATGGTGCTGGTGCCATTAAGCCGGCTGCCCGGTGTGGCTGCTGTAGCTACAGACAGACGCGCCGGGCGAGGGGTGGTGCCGGTGCCGGTGCCGCTAATGGTGCTCGCAGCGGATGCCTTGCGCTGTGGTATGCGCGAGGGGGTGTGATCATCTGCAAAGAAAAGGCGTTGGTTCAAATCTGACTGATTTTCATTTGATTTGAGCACTCTATTACCTGTGCTATCGAGCGAGAGCGTGGAGCCATGACGTGACGGCGGCTTGGAGCCTTGTCTGCTGAGCGGGCGTGAGTTGGGCTTGGAGCCGGCACGCGATCCGCCTGGCGTCAGACCCGTGCGTGTGCTCGTATAGGTGACCTTGCGCGGCGTATAACGGCCAGAGGGTCCACCATGGCTGCCCTCATTATCGCTAAGCGAATCGGGCGTGCTGGCCGAAAGCGAAGATCGCGATGGCCTTGACATGGGTATGGAACGTACCGAACGCTCGCGTACCTGGTGGTGGGTAAACAACAATGAAAGATTAGTGATGCAATCTTTTGGGCGTAGGTATCTATTAGTGCCCCCTGCTAATGGCCCTGTTTCCTGTTGCTTTACTTCCGTCTGCTTCCTCAGTTGAGTTCGACTTACCCAGTGTGTTGTTGGATGACAATGGAGCACATGTGGACTCAGTGGTACCGAGCGGCTGGCATTGCAGCGCACGAATACTGTGCCGCCGGCGCCCATGTGTATGGGAAAGGCGCATGGGACTTGGTCTTGTGCACGGATTTTCTCAAATATTGGCATTAACTCGGCCAAGTGCTCATCAGCTACATATATATAGAAACACAATTTTGTTGTTGTTGGCATTTTGCTCAATATAGCTTATAGCTGACTAAACGGTATATGATCATTTAAACAACTTGCCTCTATACAAAGAAAAATCAACATAACCTCTAAATGACTGCACATAACCTCAATAGAACCTAACCTCACAAAGCGCGACAGTTAGCGCGCGCATGTGTAATTTATCTAGCATTAAACTCAAAATATATGACGCAGCGTAACATAAAACAATTCAAGGAGTAACAAATAAATATTTATAAAAGATATATACGATATATGTATGTAGTATAGCAACAACAATACGTTCAATACAATAAATATATATAGAATAATGTAAATTCTCATGCACAAAAATCAAGAGTCAGCGCGACGCAGCGGCAGCAGCGAGCGATTATATTTTTTGTTTTAAAAGATGTTTGTTTTTTGTTTTTGTTTTTTTGTTTGTCAACAACACACACAATAAACCCAAAACGAAAGCTCAAAACTTACCTCTCAGATAATATAAAAGCCTAACATGGGATATACACTTATAGTATTCGGGAATAGTGTTGGGAATGTGGGGGAAATTCATGTTTTGCTTTTGTTTTCTTCTTATTTTCTTTTTTGTTAACCCACAACTGTCACTGGCTTGTTGATTTACCTTTATGATGGGACCCTGTCCACTCATATATGGCGGCAAGTTGGGGCTACCGGCGCCGCCATTTTGCGAACTGTTGGCAGTTTGGGCAGCATTGGGCGTGGAACGTCTGGACGTAAAGGCGGCCATGCTCTGTGAGACGCCATCGGCCAATATGAATTGCTCGCGTAGCTCAATGTTAGTGCGTCCCTTGGCTGCTCCGTTCAATGCCGGGAATATACCATGAGGTATATATATAAACATATATATATATATAAATACATATACATATATATATATATACCAAACACGCGTTTATGTGAGCGTGTGCATTTGTTGTATTTTTGTTTTTTTTTTTGTAATTTTGTTTTTGTTGCAGGCGAACATATAACAACAACAATAACAACGAAATTTTGTTACCGCATAGTATTTTTCAGAGTTTGGTATTTTTTGTTGGTATTTTTGTGGTAATTTTTTGGGCGCAGGCGAGTGCATGTTGGGCGTGGGCGTGGGCAGCGCAAGCGGATATTTGTGGTACACACGGGTTTACATTTAAATATCGGGCACATTGCGTTATCGTTATCGGTTTCATTTTAATACAGAAATAAAACATTTGAAAAAGAAAAAGGGGGAAAACATAAAATTTGATTAGTAAAAACGAAAAACGGTATACAAAATTATTAATACAAAAATTCAAGTTTTCAAAAAATTGGACGCACAACAAACAGAAATGAACAAATTTACGAAGCGTGACATGAAAAAGTATAGTTACAGCTAAGTTAGGTCGGCACAGCTGTTAGTTAACAGCCGGCACAACTGTAGCCATGTTAAGCAAGAGAATAAAGCAAAAAAAAAAAAACAGCATCATGCACTATATAAATAAGCAAGTTTTTTAGATCAATTTTTAGTCAAGTTAGATTCTAGGCAATAGACGTAGTGTTTCTTAACCCAGATTAAAAAATACTATATAAGTAGATAAATACAATGTGTGGTATGGGGTAGGATAAAACGCAGAGTTAACATATAAAAGCAACAAAAATATGAGCATGATTACTAAATGGCAACCCTAGACTGTGAGCTTTTCAGTTTTCGGGCTTTAGGATAGGTTTTTGGTTTTTGTTTGGATTCTTGATATCGTTTGGTTATTGTGTGTATGAAAGGCTTCAAAAATTAGGCGCCGACTAAATGGCAAAAAATTCTTTAAAAATAAGGCGCACTGTTAATTTCTCGTTTTGTATTTTGTAAAGCAACTTTTCGACCAAACAAATTAATGAGGTTTTCAAAAATTATGTTTTGTTTTAAGGTTATGTTGTTTTTGTTTTTTCTTTTGGGTTCATATACTAGTAATATTTTTAGGCACAAAAGTTTTATTTTTATTATATATTTTTATTTGTTGGTTAAATGACCATATCCGTTTGGTATTATTAATATGATATTTGGTATGTTTTAAAAAAATGTTTTGCATTTGTAAAAAAAAAATTGTATAATTAGTTGTTAAGCACAACTGTACCTATGTTTATGTATGTGAATTAAGAGACATGATCAAAAATGGTTTTTAAAAAGAATGATGCATATATGTTTAATCTAAGGTATAGACAAAATGCATGAGCTGAGATGGGAATGGAATTTTTATGTTTTTTTAAGTTTTGTGATATGGTGGACTACAAAAATTACACTAGAAATAATATGCGATAAATGTATGAAATCCAACAAGATTTATCGATAATTTTCGTGTATGTACGTGTACTAAATATTTATAGAGAGCGTTTGTCTGTTGTGTTTGAGTATGGAACTTACCGCGACAAGGATCGTTCTTCTGCAGGAATTCATCCAAAGCGACCCAGCCGCCACCCACGCGCACCATGACAGTGCTGCGCAGGATGCGTACCAGGCGCAGTTTCTGGGAATCACCAAACTGTAAAGATTAACATAACACACAGTTAACAGCTGTTGAGTAACTCTTATTGGAATGTAAACTCACTCTATATTTGCCTTCGCCAACTTGGAACACGCGGAACTTTTGGCGACATGTGCAAAGCATGACCAAACGTTTGACCTCATCGTGTATTTTATCGGAATCGTTGGCGGGTTTACGTTCCTGCCAATCGGGCCGCAGAGCGGCAATGAATTCCTGCCAATCGATAAGACCCTCGCCATTGCGATCAAACAGATCCGCAACAGCCTTCATTTCCAGACCAGAAGTATCGAATTCTAATAGAAAGGGGTTCAAAAATATCATGAGAAAAGCTGCAGATAGGGAACTTTGTCTATTTGAAAAACTTACTCGTATTCAGTATGCCATCGATAAAGACATCGCGTGGTATCATGCCATTGTTATCCTTATCCATTTTCCGGAACAAATCAGTCAAGCGCGATTTCTTGTGGTTCATGTACTTGAGGAACTGCAAAGAGGGAGAAAATTGGAATTATATAGATTGTTTAATAAGTTCTATATAGGGAGTTACTTACGCGTTTGCGCCAATCATCCCAGCTAAAGTTGCGAGCACGCTCGACATCCTTCAAATACATAAGATGCTCATGCAACAAACGCTGACGCTCCCATGACAGCATCCAGACATCGCGCCACTTGTTCCACAAGAGTTTCGCGCGTGGTGAACGGAATTCAAGATCGGTACCGGTAGAGCTGCTTGGAAATAGTTGAATATTATTAATATATGCGTAAGTTTATAGGATAGTTATGAAGCGTATCACAACAAGAGAGCTAATTAGATTGAAAAAAACAAATAACGAAACTACAAAATGCTTAACATACACAAAATATTTAACAGAGCATTTAGCATGAGCGCACAGTTTGCACAGTTAAATGAAGAGCGTCGGGCCACTTACCTTGGCGAGAAACGGGGGCCAAAGTGCGGCAGGCGATCTCTGTCGGGCGTATCACGCGTGGGCGTAACACGACTGTACAGGCGATTTACATATATATATATATATGGATATATTGATGATGCAGAGCAAATATTTAAGCAGCAAGATGCATAGAGTTTGATATGAGACAACGTTTACGTAGCGTGATGAAAGTAGAATCACAAAAAAGAGACAAAAGAGAGAGACAAAAACAAAAACGATCAAATAACGAAACAATATACACAAATACACATTGTAAAAGACAAAAATAACATTTATCAAAAATTTTGTATATAATTATTTATATGTATATACACAAAATAAATAACATGTCGCAGCATTTCCAAAAATAGTGTTGCATAGAGCCAAAAAAATGTAAAGTTTGAGAAAAACAAAAGAAATTTCATTGATAATTTTGAAAGTGCATGCACAGTTATTTTTGAAACTATTAAAAATCGCCCTAGGAAAGGCTGATAACTCACCTGCCCTTGCGTGCGTTGAGTCCTTGATCGCGTGAGCCCTTGAAGCTGTGAAAGAGAGGGTAGCAATAGCATATTAAAAAAATTGCACAACTATGTGTTGGAAAAAACAAAATAAAGCAACAGTTTTAGCAGCAGTGTGTATAAGCCGAGTGCTGTGAACGAGGCAGTGTGTGCGAGGTGCAGTGGATACTACGTGGTATGCTAGATGGTATAAGTACTAACTAAGTAGATAAGTTAGCATTTTATTAAGAGCTACAGAAGATATTATTTTTAAATAATGTACAGGTAATAGCTACAAGCTATTTACCTTATAAAGAACATTAGTTATTTTCGACATGAGCTCAGGTATAGCAATATCTATAGCCCAGGCGGGGCAAACGCACCCAACTAAATGCACTGTTCAGTTGCCTGTTTAGTTAAGACAACTCAACAAGCGTGCAGTAGGCATAGGGTATAGATTTGCTTGAAGCTCTTGTTAAAAAAGGATTTCTTTAATCGTGAAGCAATTTATTTATGTTGTGATGAGTTCATGGTATGGTAGTTGATACAGGTAGGCTTAGCAAACATAGTATGTTAGCTCATTTTAGCACTACATAGGACACGAAATAGCTTATATTTTTATTTATTCAATGGTTTGCCTGATATTTGCGTTTTTTTTTAATTGTTTAATGTTGCAATGTTAAGCAAAATGCAGTCTTGAACCAGTTGGTAATGTGTGCGTGTGTGTGAGGTAGTGTTGGTAAGCGCATTCTGTTTGAAGTGGCTTGCAATTTTAGAGTACAGTATAAAGTAGCTGTCAAACCTTTGACGTCGAAGCTGGCCATCGGGCGACTGTTCGCGCAGATCGTGACTGGAGCCACGACTACAGTTGTATATATATATAGAGTTGTTGTTGTTGCAAGGTGTACAGTATTTGGTATATTGTGGTATATTTTTGGTAGACGATAGGCAAAAGTTTGTGTGCAAATCGTTGCAGGGGAAAATATTTGATATTTGTAGCAATAAAATTGGTGAAAAATAGCAAAAGAAATAAAAGTAAAAAATAAAAGTAAAAAATAAAATGAAATACTCATATATACAAAAGTCAGATGGCAATTTCGTAATACTCACACTGGCGTCTTGCCACTTCGCGATGGTTTGCGCGCGCCAGGAGGGAGTTGACGAGGCTTGCAGGCGCGATCCACTTCATTCTGGCGGCGTGCTGTGTTCTCCATGAACTCCTTGTGATCTTCAATCAATTTCTCTACAGGTGGAATCTCATCCGGCAG